GAACAAGAGCTCCTTTCACCCTCTCATGCATGAAAGTACTGAGCTCTTCTCCTTCAGCAGGGCATCCATGTCAGAGCCCGAGCTACTGGCCATGGCATCTTCAGTGTTCTTTATGCTGTTCTGTTCTGTTTCCAGCTCCTGGACTGCTGCCTTGACCCTTGCTGTAGAGTGTGATGTAAACTGCTGGCAGAAGATGCATATCTTAGGCTTGCCTACCTTCCACCACCGCCTCAGTAAATCAAAATTGCCCTTTTTACCTTGCCGGCAGGACAAAAAATCAGCAAAACCCTGGCAGAATACACTGTTCTGTAACAGCTTGTTGTTAAAATGCCAGTAAGACCTAACTTTCTCCTAAAGAAATGATTAACTCATCAGTAATGAGATGATGGTTGGTGAAACCAACTGGAATAATGGAGCTACTGACTGGACTGGACGCAAGTGACTGTGAGATGTATAACCTATCTGGCCTGGCTGCACTCACTCTTCTGTTGCCCACCCTGACCCATGTATACTGTCTTGCAGTGGGATGTTTCAGCCTCCATGTATCTAACAGGTCTATTTAAGCATCTGAACTGCCTTAACTTCTAGCTGACTGAAGGTGGGGCTCTTCACTTGTTCTATCCATGGTGAAATCAAAAGTGCAATTCCAGTCTCCACCTACGATCAGCTGCTCCTGACTGTACTTCTGTAACTCATTCCTCAAAACACATAAAAAACATAGTCTGTCAGCTCCGTGATTTGGGGCATAGAAATTAACAACACACAATGTAGACCTGTCAACCTCTATCCTAACAATGAGACACCTCCCCTTTACCAACTCTAAAACTGATCAAATCTTTGGGTTGGTTCTTTTAATTAGCAGCACAGCTACTCCTCCGCTAACAATGGCTGAGTGCATGCAGCCCATCCCACCACAGTCCCCAGTCTACCTCATTTGCCTGGTCACTGTGAGTTTCCTGCAGCAGAACTACATCTGACTTCTTCTGCTGTACAATCTCTGCCACTAAGGCCCTTTTACATCTATCCCTCCCACCATTCATATTGAGGGAACCAACCCTGAGTCCCTGCATGAGAAGGGTAGAACAGAGAACGACACAGAAAAAGACCAACATAAAGCATCAGCTACAAAGAAACATTTTTTCTTCTTCCTAACAATTTTCCCTCTTGTAGCCTTTCTAAATGCTGTGACGTGCGCTTTAAGGCAAGAAGCTCTCAAGAAGCTTTCTAGAAGCTCAAAACCGCCCAGCTTTTGCAAGAAAATGACAAACTTAATGAACTTATCCGTGTCCTCAAAATAGTCTTGAACTCTGACTGTCCGTAAGTTTCATCCAGAAAATCATTAATTATGAAGGATCACCAACTGAGTGAACTGACACATTATCTGTCTCTGAATCATACTCCAAATCCTCCTCCTCTTGTGTCACCTGGCTACAGAGAATCCCCCCTGCACTTCCAGCATCTGACGCAATGGGCCTATCTGTACAGCCCACCTTTGCCGAGCCACTCGGAGCAGCCGGCTCTGCTGCCGGGGCCCCTGCAGGCACCGCCCCTGGGTCTGAGACTGTGGGCTGGGAGGCTCTTCCTGCATCTGTCTGCTCCTCCGACTTACTCTGATCCCTTTTCTCCACCCCGGGGTTTAAACCAGAGGGCAGGATGTCCGTGTTTGCGCTTCCAGCCGCCACCTGCTATCTGTGCAGACATGCAAAGCCAGTGTTTCCTATAGTCTCCAAAATCGGCCAGATATAAAATGCCTCCGGTAAGTAAACGCCACTCTGTAGCGCACCGGCTGGAGCGCCTACTGAGAATTCTTTGGCTCCGTCAAAAATAGACCCGGCGCGTATTTTTAGCGGCTGTGGGGCTGCGGCTATGACGCGGCGCGGCGCTTCTGGTGGAGCAGCTTACATTGACTTGAATGACCACTATTAGCTCCGGCACCCGCGCCTCGGCCGGATCGCACACGCGACGGATCCAGTGGGTTGCCATAAATGGGCCTGTCCCAGAGGCATTCAGCCAGAGGGCTTTTCAAATCTTCTTTTTGAAGCCGCGTAAAATTAAATGCTCTGATTCAGGGTGCCATACTTGCAAATCGTGTGGGAGGGAGGGAAGGAAGAAAGCAATAATTTGTGTCTGTTTGTGTGTAATTAATGTGAGTCTTACCTTTTGTTTTCTTTTTGTATTGCCTATTTTGTATTGTATTGTGTATCTGTAACTGTGTTTGTGAGAGAGTTTTAAAAGAATATTTTGTCTGCACATGATTTAAAATAAGAAAATAGCCCTCCAGAGGCAGATCAGTGTGTTTGTCATATGTCATTTTTCTTTTGATCACTTAAATGTTTTACCATTAATCCTTAGCTGTATTTTGAGCATAACCCTTCACCATAACATACCACTAGTGTTTTTATCATTTTATCAAAGCACAAAGATGTTGAAATCTAGGCATATTCTGCCATCATAACTTGGCTCTCAGAATTCACCAGATTGATGCCTTCACATCAAATATATACAAAATTTTCACCCGGGGGAGCATGCCCCCCAACCCCCCTAGACGGTTTGGAGCACATGTACGATCCATCACCGTGCCTCACTCTGAAAACCACCTCCAGACTCTGTGACGGAGAGTCCAAAAGCATGAACACTTGCCTCCTGAGTGACTGAACATGCTTCAGCCTCAGGTCTCTGCACACCAGGCTGACAGTTTTAAAAGCACTGGCCAATTTCCCAAACTTCCGCAGCTCATTCTCCAACAGCGTGTTGGGGATGAATGGCGAGACACCTGATACAATAATCCTGACAGACGGAACTGCCAACAGGGAAACAGCGGTGTAAATTTCCCTGATCACTACACCTCTGTCAATCATCTCACTGACCTGGCTTCTCCTCAAGAAAAACCACCAAAGCCTTATTCATTCAGGAAGCAAAAAGCAGCTTGCCATGCCTGATTTTTTTCTCCTACAGCCAACAAAACCTTCTCCACTGTCACACTGGTTTCTTAGAGGACGCCATTTCTCTGTCAAACAACCAGCAACAACCGGCAACACAATCACCAACCAGTCGAGAGAAGAAATATGTCAAAACTTACCTGGTCATGCAGTAGGGAAAGTCAGAAAGGAGAGAGAAAACCCCAGAAGTACGACCAGAAACAGTTTAAAACTCTGCACCAGACACTCACTCTCTCACACACCACATGCTCTCACCACCACCAACTCCCTGCAGAGAGAGAGAGAGAGAGAGAAAGAGAGAGACAAAAGAGACAGATAGAGAGAAAGAGAGAGAGAAAAGAGACAGAGAGAGACAGACAGAGAGAGAGAAGTTTTGACACCGTACAAAACCTTATGTTAATGCATAAGTTATTTTCATATAACTTATGCGTTAACATTTTATTAAGGCTTACAGTTAGGCATAATTAAGGCCAGGTCACTTTGAGTGACAGGCTGTCTGCCAATAGTGTTCCCAGCTTCTCAGTCAGATCCACCTCTCCAACATCTCATCCAAATATTGTCACTTCTTGCTCCAAAAAATGGAGATGTCAACGGCCAAAATGCCGAACTTGAGGCTTCAAAACCAGTGGGTGATATCATGGTAATTACATCCATTATTTTTACAGTCTATGTATAGGCCTACTCATTCAAACCCTTACTTACACAGGGCTAACATAGCGCAAAGTCTTTCACACAAAATGACAGAAATAATAAATTTTTGACAGAAAAAAAGACGAGAAAGAGAAAAGATCGGGGAATTTAGAATCAGAATGCATTATGTTGGTGATAGGCTGTTACTCATGATTTGGGCTAGCCTCCTTAGCTCCAGTTTGAGCCAAATCTGCAAAGTTGCAGGCTGGAAACTGGCAACTACCCACATTACACTATATAGTAATTCGTATACATAACAAGACAGACTCTACAGCCATTCTAGTGGCTTTGTAATGCTGTATTTAGGTTCATTACCTGCTAAACATCACCATGTTAACATTGTCTTCATGTGCATGTTACCATGCTGATGTTAGCATTTAGCTTAAACACCACTATTTACCAAGCAGCCTCACAGAGCTCTTAGCGTGGCTATAGATTCTTAGATTTCTTCATTTATGAAAAAGACTGTATGTAATGATTCTCAAAACACAAATTTATTTTGTTTGATTTATGAATTGCAGAGCTCCTCTTATTTAATCTTAAATAGGGGGTGCCCAGTAGCTCACGTAGTGAAGCAGGCTGTGTCCTTGCCGCAGAGGCCGCGGATTCGATTCCAACTCACAGCCCTTTGCTGCATGTCGTCCCCACTCTCTCCCCCTTTCACCCTGAGTGTATCCTATCCATCAAAGGCAAAAAGCCAAAAACAAAACAAAACAAAATAAAACTCTTGAACAGAGTGCCTCAGTAATGAGTCCTAAAACACAGAAATGAGTTAGCATTTCAGCACTCGTCTTGAAGTCGATGGGTTTTTTGAATGGGTTTTTGTTAGACGCCTGAAATGTGCTCTGTGGTTAACATAAGCTTAAGACACTTTCACATTTTGTTCTACGATGTAAAATACATTAGTAAATGTATTTTACATTTACTAATGTATTTTACATCGTAGAACAAAATGTAAAATACATTAGTAAATACCCTACCTATTTATTATGAAGCCTTTATGGCTTAAAAATGCTGTTGCAAACAACTTGACACTACAGAACATCATCACGCTGAACATGGCTTTACAGCCATGTTGTGGGGGCAACGTTAAGATATGGGTTCATAGTGGAGTTCGTTTATAGCTTAGCTTGGGTTGTTTAATTTTTTCCTTCTGGCGATGCATTTAGGCTTAAAAAAATGATAAAAATGGTGTTCATTGGTGAAGATTATCTTGCTGAACAAAATGTGTAGGTATCCCATAGGCGTTTTGACCCCATGGATGACTTTTTACTTTTTCACATCATTCCTGGAGCACTCTATACATCTGTCATCTTTTTTTAAATTTTATATAATGTAACACATATGACAAAAAAAAGAGAGCACACCGAGTCACTGGAGATCAGCTTTAATATCTGTAGTTAGTCAGAATAGAAGCTTACAAAGTATCAACACGTCCTGTACAAAAATACTCTACAGATTAAACCTCAACCCTAAAAAAAAAAAACAGAAATAAAAAAGGTAAAGAAACAAAACACAAATCAACCAACACAGTATCTGCAATCTATACATGAATGTGACTGAAGTACTGATTCAAATGCTCTAAAACTGAAACCCTTGTACAAACACTGTATATTAAATACAACCTCCAGCACTGTATATACATATATGTATGGATCATTGTTTCATCATGATCAAGATCATGCTGCTGAAGCCTCTTACATTCACTCAGCGTACATTGCACTCCTGCCTGAGGAAACAACACACACACACACACACACACACACACTGTTCACCAACATGCGGTGCAAGAGTGCACACAGGAAATACACACACCTGTGGCAATATCATAAGTTTCTTTATACTGTACCATTATTTCCAGTATTGCCCTCAGCTCATTGTTCTCCTGCCAGGAGTCAAAGTAAGACTGAACATGAAATGTCAGTGTAGGAGATATCACTCAGTGGTATGCTATCAAATTCATTAATGATGTATGACTCATTGAAACAGAATGTCGTGTGACAGTTGTATCTGCTTGTTACAGCAACAAAAAGCCAAAGCTGCCCTGACATAGTCATTAAAACTGGCTTTTCATTAATGTCTGTATATAAAGGGCTGTTTCATACATCATGGCAGGTATTTTTGCAGTACAGCATAAGGCAGTGTCACACAGGGGGTCAATGAGTCTCATTTTGCTCATATAATACAACCAAAATACAATAAATATTGTTTTTATATTTTTGGGAAGTACACTCCTAAAAGGATCAGTTCACCCCAATTACAAATATTCATATTTTCTCATTCGCTCTTTTGGTATCCCTCCATGCAGATATTGGTTTTGATTTGTCCAAGTAGGAGATCTCTGTCTCTGAGATTTACCACAATACAGTGGAGGGGACTGGCACATTCCTTTGTGATGCTCACAACATTGAATATTATAGTTTACAAACCAAGTGTCAGCCATGCTGGAAGCTCTGTAAAGCTGTACTTAATTGTGCGCTCCCTAAATGCTAGATTCTCACCATGACATTGCTAACATGCTATTGTTCGTCCAATATGTTGTATTTTTATCATCTTAGTTATGTTAGCATGCTACCATTTGCTGATTAGCACAAAACACAGCTGAGGCTGATGACAATTGCATTAGTTTTGCAGGTATTTAGTCATAAAGCAAAGTACAGGAGACAGTGGCACCTCCAGAATTTTTCATACACATAGGTGTGGCCAGATGGAGCCACTGAAAATCTTGGGGTGGCACACTAAAACCAAAAGTCATAACTGAATTTCAGAAATTCTATTATGTGGTTGAAGTAGCTGAAAACTATGTTAAGGGATAGCATACTGATATGCTTTTGATTTCTAACAACAACAATCACTTCTGGGTAGAAAAGTAGCAATTGATTACAGTTGTGGAGACATGTAAAATCAGCACACTTATTGATTTCTGTTGTCATTTTCAGCTGTAACTGTAACGTTTGAGGAGATATAGTTAAATGTGGTGGTCCAACCTACCTGATGTTTTTGCTGTGCTTATTTTACGTACTGTTATCGTCTTTGATCAACCAACTCTATCAGCACAAAAGCTAAACAATGTACTGCTGTTGATATGGCCGCAACAAAAATTTTGGCCACCTGAAAAAAACTAATATCACTATCATACTTTTGAATATTTCCTCCACTTTACCTTCCACATTGCCCACGCGTTAGACCAGCAACTCTGTGTTCTGCTACATAAATTACTGTTTTTATCAGTGGACTCTTGTGGCTTTGATATAATGGCTTCAGTTATCTGTTGGACAAGATTGTCTGTCAGCAAGGTGAAGCAGTGAAAATGTTCTAAATATAGCGTAAACTGATATTGATTTTTTTTGTGGGGGATTTTTTATAGGTGGCTAAAAATTAACTAATTGAGGCAGCGTTTGTTCAGCGACATTTCATTTTAACGTATGTGACTTGAGGATGTTATTGTAAATAAACATTGCTAATCAGTCTATATATTATGGGTATAGAGGTAACATTTTGAGTTCAACAACAATCCTGTTTTAGTGTATTCTTCAAATATGCTTGTTGTCCCTTTCCTTAAAAAGACAAATCTACCGCCCTAATTTGAAGGAGTACATTGATTGTAAGGAACAAAACATTAACTGGGAACAAGTCAAGTTTGACCCTTAGAGAAACCACATTAAGAAAATACCACTTTAGGGCACTGAGACCTTGAGGAACACCATAGAACAAATCCATGCTGTGATTTAATATCAAAAACTTTGGACATTTGGAGATTTCTCTAAGGACTGCATTTTTCTGTGATGGGATGGCGAGTTCTGCTGTTGTGGAAATTGCAGAGGTGTCAGCGAAGAAGTCCTCTGAGGGCCCTAGGACTCAAGTTTGTGGTTGTAAAGTGTCATGGATTTCATATACAGTGAGGTTAATTTGCAAAAAATGGATTCACTACATGTAATGGTTACTAAGGGGCCCACATCATCACACATGAATACAACTGGGAATCCACAGGAGTCTCAGCTTTCCAGTCATAACAAATTTATGCAATTTTAAGACTGTTTAGGAAGCCCAGTTTGCAGACACATTCAATACACCATTTTTAGAATAGACGCAGTTAACACATTTATCCTGCATAAAAAAACTGCATGATATTACCATAAAGAGGGCATGGCTGTAGAGGGGAGGCTTTTGGGTACCCATAAAAGCAATTTTGTTTCACATATCTTGAGGTTAGAGGTCAAGGAACCCTAGAAAATGGCTGTGTCAGTTTTTCCTTAAGAATAAATTTGGAGCATTATTAGCCCCCTTCACGACAAGCTAGCATGACATGACGATGTGCAAACAGCTATTTTACGGGCTGACAACAGCCTCTGAACCTACTGTAATAGTCACCCATATCTATGAGGCTAAAAACCCCCAAAGAAAACAGATGGACGACCATTTAATGGGCTAAAAACATCCAAATCAGGTGATAAATGTCTGAATGAAATTTAATGGCAATCCATCCAACGGTAGTGGTGGACGTGCCATTGCTGGAGCTACGTCGTTAGTGTGGCTAAAAATTTAACAGCAACTTCAATACCTTAATAAAACAAATCTGCACTGATAGATAGCACTATAGCTGGATGAAAATATAATATTTTTTTACAATTTTGGGTGAACCAGCCTTTAAATCTAAACCATTTGTTGGGAACCTTGGAATCATGCTATTTTACCTCTCCAATAATTAGGAGGAGTCATAGCCCAGTAACAGCTGAAACCAGCAGCCTTACTGCGTTGAGGATGAATCACTGTCCACTGACATACAAATAGATATAAAGATTTACATTTATAGAGAGCTTCAACAGCTCATGGTTTGGAAGTGGGAGGAGCCAGTTGGCACCCAGGTAACAACAAGAAAATGCTAAACTGCCTGACATGTAAAAAGGGAGAATGGAGACAGCAGCTAATGTGACATTAACATGATTTTCATGATATTTTTACGACTGATGTGTGCTACAAAATTTCTAACATTTTAAGTTGCATTATCCTACTTAGACAGAGTACAGAGACGTAGTGGCTCCATCTGTGACATGAACCTCCCCTTGCATGTCTTAGCTGACTACATCCCTTCTGTTGACAGACATGTCACACACAGTCCACCTGCACTGCCCACATAACCTGTATCTTGAGATTTGATCACATGTGGGCTGAATCAAAATAACAAGAATGCTCATCAATACAGACACAAATCAAATGTTAACACCAGATAACAACTCCTCTTTTAAATTTGATTGTCAATATTTGCTCAAGCCAAGATTAAGAGTCAAATCCAAATACAACTGCAGTTTTAAAAAGGACCGTTGCCTCTCAGCTGCTGTATTTGTACATGCATGGACAGTGTGCATGTAGACCCTGATGGCAGTGATCTCTCGGGCAGTGATGATGATCCCACGGCCTTCACCAGGAGAAGAATGGAGTGAAGAGACAGAAAAAAGGAGTGGTGGAAAACAAGTGTGCACATCAAAAGAGAGAAGACAGAGGCGCAGAGTTGATGAAGGGAGACCATGGAGATCAGACGCAACAGGAAGAGGCAGAGGCGGATCAGTCAGCACCAAGAGGAGGAGAGGCAATTACAGAGAGAGGAGAAAGAAGAAGAGATGACACTCAAAAGTATAGATGAGGATATCACTGCTGACTGAGAAACACCATTAAAGTCTGGAAAAAAGATAAAGGTAGCACAAAGAGAGCAACAACACCATCCATAGGTATAGTAAAATGAGAGTCTAACTAGATCTTTCCTCAAAATACAAAACAGCAGTCATATTACAAAAGGTCATTTATATTAGTTGATACTCAGCAGGACGTACTATTCACATTTCTTTACAAAACCCTAATTTCAATATTTTCCATTTGATTGATGGTATATTGGATCCTTTAAGCTCCATCTCATTATTGCTTAAATGATGTGAAAATGTAGATGTTTATCGTCTAACTAAAATGATGCATCCTCCCCTTTTGACAGTTGGTGTAAATGATGTTGTAGGCTTGTCCACCCTGGATCATGAATATACCTCCTCTTTCTATGATACATACTCAGTTGCCTTCCAGAAGTGTCCAGGGTGAGACAGCCTGCGGTTCAGTTTGGGGAGCCTCTCCAACATGCCTGCCAGCTGGGGGAAGGTCGGCCTGTTGTCTGCCTCAGCGGCCCAGCAGGCAGACAGGATCTCCTGTTAGGATGGAAGGAGGAGGGTGTTTCAACTGCGGTTTCCATTGACCAATAAGTTGGCCATACACTCAAAGCTCAGCTGTTACTGTTTGCATCCTTAGCATCCACTGTGACTTTAATGTACTGAAGTCTACAGAGTCTGGCAGGTACCACAGATGTAAGATTTAGACACTTTTGTGTACTAATTATTACGGGTGTAACAATCCACGTATTTATATTGAACGAGTTACAAGTTTGGTACGCATTACAAACATGACGATATGTTAAACTATCTTATGACATTTGGATAATAAAATATATAGTTTAAGGTGTAATATCATCAGCATAAACCACCGCACACTGAACTGAATAACTGTGATTTTATAAGACCTGTGAGTGCTCATGTGATTCTGTTAAGTGAACCTGAAGAAGCCACGGGCGAAATGCGTTGTTCACTCTTAATAAAACTACAGTAATTCAGTTCAGTGTGCGGTGGTTTATGTCAATGATTTTATCTGAGATGTTCCTGCGGCCAACCAGCACCTGGTCCTTGAGACTGGCTGTGCAGAGGGAGCTCTGTTTACAGTTTAAACTGTGTTTAGTATAATGTTCTCAGTGTCACTGCGCTCAACAAGGCAGCGATGGAACAGGCAACATACTGTCTGTCCTCCCACCCCCAAACCAGAACATTCTACTCCAGTGAGACACACTGGAAGGCAGTTATGCTAAGCTAGCTCATTGCAAGATGGTTAGTTACACCATTATCAGACCAGAAATAGAAGATCCTCAAAAAAACCTACAGGTCTGGTGTTTGGAGCCACTTTGGTGTTACTATAAATTAAGAGGGCGTTGGTGAGAAAAAAACAAACAAACAAAAAAAAAGGTAATGGTATGCCACATCTGCTACACGACAGCAGGTCACATCAGTGGGGACACTACAAACATGTCAACTCATTTACGTCGCCTTTACCTCAGTGTCTCAAAAGGTTGAACTAAACGAAAACACGGGGCAACACATATGCTACAATCTAATGTTATCCAGGCAGCATTTAGGCAGCCATTCCTAACTGATTCAAACAGGGCAAAATTAATCACAGTGGCAACTGGTACATTTATAGCTGCTGATATGAGACCCTCCTTGTTAGCGGAAAATGTAGGCTTTACAAACATGCCTAATGTTTTTGAGCACATTGCTCCTTCCCAAGACCATAATCCCTGCTTTGTGCAATAATACGAAAAACCCAGATTATGATGCTAGTTTTAATACATTTAAAAATTTGTATTTGTTTGCACTACAATACTACATTTAATTTTTTATAAGGAGCTGTTTTGTTTTATATTCTGCTAAGAAGACATTCCAGAAGATGGGTCACTGAGGTATATATCCATCATTGTTCAACTACAAAATACATCATATTTTATGATGTAAGTTTTAATAAATTAATGAATTAAAATAATATGAAAATAAGAAAAAAAACAAGGAATATTTTCTGGCATTTCTACTTTTTTGCTGTATCAAAATGTTACCATACCGGGACCCCACTGTGTTGTTTTCACCCAAACCATGAATTTTGTGAACTGTTATTCCCCTACTAACTACTACTACTAGTTGTAATAACAATAATCATCATCATCATCATCATAATAATGATAAAAATAATATAGCACTGTGCCCAGAGAGGAGTCTGCTTACACTGTTGACATTCTTGCAGATTAAGTTTCCAGGAGACAAGATGTTATGGTCAATTTATTACATGCTGCATTCAAATATATTATTCTCTAGATAGAAGCGTCACATTGTCAGTGTTAACATTAAAATCATTGATTACCTCGAGAAGAGCTCTATCAGTTCTGTGATTAGAGCAGAAATGTGATTGAAGTGTATCATGGATGTTGATGAGAGTGAAGTGATCTATGAATTGCTGATGTAGGCCTACAATCTTTTCAGCAATTATGCTGAGGATTGGAATATTGGAGACTGGTGCGTAATTATAACCTATGGAAATAGGTTTCTTTAATAATGGTGCATGCTGACCATGACAGTGCTAACAGAATGCCTTCCCTCTGACCACATTAAGATTCTCTAGCTCTAAGATGGCAGTGGTAATGTAAATCCATATCCAGGTTGAGTCCCTCCCTTACTTGGGAGTTACTGTACCACTCTATAATCTATGAAATGCACTCACCGTGACCTCTTTGCCCAGGTTGGCCTCTGCAGGCACCTTCTTAATGCCCTCATTGCTGCCAATTAGCCAGATTTTAGCTTCCACAGGCTGATTGGTGATTGGCCAATCTCCAACCTGCAGCTCATACCAGATTGTGCTGAAAACGACACAACACGAAAAACGTGATTAGGAAAACTGTGATGACAGTAAAACCACCTCACATGCCATAATCTTTTACCTTCCATCTCTGTCCATGTCAAGTGAGTCAAAGCAAATGTGCCAAATTGTGTATGAAGTTAATGGAAATACACTGTGAGGTTAGAGAACATGTCTGGCTGCATATGTGAGCTGAACTTTAAGCTTACACAAAATGGTTTAAGGAACTCTGCTTTAAATGTTTGTGAAAGAAAACTACAGTTTCAATGCCACCTTTACTTCAGAATCTAGCATAAATTGAGTGTCTGTTGATTAACCTGAGCAGGCTGTTTAAGTGTAATCAATCAATACCCAAATGCATAAACGTCAGCAGCTTTGGAGAAAGGCAGCTGGTCCTCATCGACCTCTGGACTCATTTTTCGAACAATCTCTGGAGCAAGGTAGTAGAGCCAACCCTGAGGGATCCGCAACACATTCTTTCTTCTAAACACACACAAATACACAACTTGTGAAGACAGTGACCCCGGCTTATCAGAGATACAGATCATTTATACAGAGACATACAGATCAGAGTATCATTTCTTTCACTCCTACCTGCCTTCTTGCACCACTCCAGACATTCCAAACAGGCCAAAGTCTGTAATGACCACCTTGTTTGTGTCGCAGAACACGTTCTTAGACTTCAGATCCTTGTGAATGATGCCTTTGGCATGCAAATAACCCATTCCCTGTGAAAGAGATGTATTTCTCTATTCAACAGTGGAAGATGAGTGGTAGCTGAGGGTGGACACTTTTATTAACATCATGTTAAAGGCCAAAAGTGTACATTTGTTGACTACCTTTTTAACTAAGTGTTAGCTTGCTTTGCTACGTTAACATATTGTTAAATTCAGTGGAGCCCAAGCTAGCTTATGATTCAGATCTACTCATTCTAAAAATGATTTATGATTTCTTACGATTCATAAACACACACGTACATATTCTGCAACATTTAACATAATTCTATATTAATTTAAGCTCCATATAAAGGGAATAAATGTGATTTTTCCCAGCTAATGTTCCACTCATCTGCCTTAACGACACAGTTTACTCATTTTTACAACTGCTGATTTATTAAATTGGAGTTCTACTGAATGAAAGATGGCACCAAATTTAGCAGCAGATTTCAGTATTTAGTAGTAGTAGTAAAATATATACTTAAAATACATATCTATATACAGGCAATAACTTTATATGATATGAAAGAGGTACCGCAAAACTAACATTAAACAACTGATTCAAGGTAACATTATGCTGCTGAGTTTAGTAGGCTGAGGATGCAGTTTGACAGGGAGAGACAGAGATATCATGCACTGATGCTGAGTGACAGACCTCTCATTCTAGGTGTCATTATCTCTCATACATTCTGAATTAATACTTCTCAGCTCTAAAAAGTCTAAATGAGTCGTGAAGGGACAGTGGATTTTATTTGTTGAATACAAGACGATCTGGTATTATACACTACAGGTGGCAACGTACTCCTCTCTGTAGGATGGAAACTGTACCGTTGGTAACAACAACAATCCCTTTATGTTCTGGATGCATGTTCAACACACTGTTTTTGAAGCCACAAATTTAGCTTAGTCTGGTTTTTGGTAACATTACAGACGTGGACAGCATATATCATCATATACCATATACCCTGGTGAAATTCTAGGAAGGTACGAAGGTACGGTACTAAAAATTAGACACCACCCAAGCCCAACCCAAAGTCATATCTTTAATAAAAGGACAATTGATTGAATCTAAATTCCTTAGAGCACTCTTTTGTCTTCAGCTTGCTTCCACAGCATGGGTGTTAAATTCTTATGGAAACAGCCTATTTCAATTTTCTTTTTCTTACAAAATATTTTCAAACAACAAACCAATGCCATTTTAAAACAGTTAATGTTGAGGGCCAGTATTTTAAAGTAAAATATTACAGAGAATTAAACCTTGTAAGTATGTATGTATGTATGTATGTATGACTTTATGACTGCATATGTGTACAGATCTGATAGGGTTGGATCTGTTTACAAGTCACTGTATCTATGATAAACTGCATTCCTATGATAATATTAGGCTTTGATGAACTGTAGGTTCTTGTGTGATTTTCTATAGATTATCAGAAATCATCATGTATTGATCTTGAAATGGTAGTTTATATCTTTTTATTTTGGCCTTCTCACACAGCTCGAGTGTTGCTTACCTTTACAATTTCCTGTGCAATCTGTCTGGTTTTATTGATGTCAAGCATGTGACCTCTTTCTCTTACAACAGAGTACAGAGTCACACCTTTACAGAAACTGCAGAGAAAACACATGCAATATTCTTACAAACACTGAGTTCACAAATCTACATAAATTCACCAAAACAACATCTCACAAATGAAATATAAAGAAAGTATAAACACACATTTGTTTCTGGAAATGAGGGAACAAAAGCAGGACTGAGGTGTGATGACTTATGCAGCTGTACCTAGTGATGATGGCGAGGTGTGGTGGAGCCATGCAGGCGCCCATAAAGAGGACGACATTCTCATGTCTGGTCTGCCTGTAGTTCATCACCTCCTTCTTGAAGAGCTTCAGGTGATCCTGGTTGTTGCCGTCAATCTCCATTAGGCGAATGGCAACCTCACCGTGCCAGCGACCCTTATGCACCTTCCCCCAGCGACCCTGTACAATCACAATGTGTCAGCTCTGTTGGACCCAAATGTTGATACTTTATGTTTCATACTAAGATTTAGTATGCCTGTATTCTGTCTCTGTCTTCACCTTGCCAATAAGTTCTCCCAGCTGCAGCTGCTCATACGGGATGTCCCACTCCTGCAGGTAGACGCTGGTCTGGCTGGCCTTACGAGAGATGGGGCCCCTCCAGCGGCCAACTGCACCGCGACGGCATATGGAAGAAGGCAGGTCCTCCAGCCCATCCTCATCAGCCTCCTCAGTGGAAAAGTTCTTTTTTCTGCCGCACTGGTCAGCTGCTTCCTCATCCTCAGCTGGGTAGTCTTTCTCTGCCTCCTTCTCCTGAAACAAATAGAATAATTCATTCATTCATTCATTCATTTATTTATTTATAACTGATTTTAGTAAAACTTCATTATAAAGAAGTGCTTAAGGGGAAAAGGATCAAATCAACAACAAAAGCAACAGGAGAAAATAAGAAAACTTAAACAGAAGTTGGAAAATGTTATTTAAAGTTCATACAGTGATACAAAATCAGCAGCATGGACTCGTTGGGTGCAGTGTTACAGCACAAATGGATCTTTTCAGGTCTATTGTGGAGTCTGAGTCAACTACCAGACTTTGTTTGTATTATTCTTCAAAATACATTATTATATGCATCATTCTTTCAGAGCTAGAGGGGATGTATTTTTGGTGGTTGAAAATACTTTCCTGCCTGAGAACACACCATGTAAAAGTTCTTCTGACTTCCACTGCTGAGAAAATATGGCAGTGACAGAAAAAATAAATATGCTTCACAACAGTACATTAAAAAGTGCTGTAAACCTCAGAGGCATACCATTCCTATGAATAACACAAGCAAATAACTTATCATTTTCACTTCTTCTTTTCAGTGATGTAGTAACTCACCCCTCCTTGCTTTACTGCAGTCAGCTGTGTCTCAGTGACGGCCACCTGTGACACTCTGAGAGAAAACCCGCAACAATGAGCAACTGACAAAATTTTTTTCTAGGGTTATTAAGTTCTACTAGTACTGTAAGATACTCTAGAGTATACTTTTACAAGTCAAATACACTTACACTATTCAATTTCAATTTTATTTATAAAGCCCAATATCACAAATTACAATTTGCCTGACAGGGCTTTACAGCATACGACAACCCTCTGTCCTTAGGACCCTCGCAGCATATATGGAAACCCCCCCCCCCCAAAAAAAAAACCTTTAACGGGGGAAACCACACTATATATACACTATACACTATATACAACCCCAATTCCAAAACAGTTGGCACACTATGTAATATGTGAATAAAAAAAGAATGCAGTTATTTGTAAATCCCTTTTTACCTATATAATGAAATGGATACAGTCCAAAGACAAAATATTTAATGTTCAAACTAAAAAAATGTTATCAATTTTTTTATTAACATGCACTTATTCTGAATTTGATGCCCCCAACATGTTCTAATAAAGTTGGTACAGGAGCATGTTCACCACTGTGTTATATCACCTTTTCTTTGAACAACACTCAGTAAGTGTTTGGGAACTGAGTACACTAATTTCTGAAGTTTTGAAAGTGAAATTCTTCCCCATTCTTGCTTGATATACAACTTCAGTTGTTCAACAGTCTGGGGTTTTGTGTTTCATAATGTGCCACACATTTTCAATAGGAGACAGATCTGCAGGCAGACCAGTCTAGTACCTGCACTCTTACTACGTAGCCAGACTGTTGGAACACGAGCAGAATGTGTCTCATTGTCTTGCTGAAATAAGCAGGGATGTCCCTGAAAAATATGTCTGGATGGCAGCATATGTTGCTCCAAAACCTGTGAGTACCTTTCAGCATTCATGATGCCTTCATAGATGTAAAGTTACCCATAATGCCATGGGCACTAACACACCTCCATATCATCACAGATGCTGGCTTTAAATTTTTGGTCCTTCTCCTCTTTAGCCCAGAGGACATGACGTCCACGATGGACTGGTCAGACCACACCACACTTTTCCTCTTAGTGTCAGTCCAGCTCAGATGAGTTTGGGCTCAGAGAAGTCGGCAGTGTTTCTGCATGTTGTTGATGTATGGCTTTCACTTTGCATGGTAGAATCTTAACTTGCATTTATAGATGCAGCTATGAACTGTGTTTAATGACAATTGTTTTCCAAAGTGTTCCTGAGCCCATGTAGCAGTATCCTTCATACAATCATGTTGGTTTTAATGCAGTGCCATCTTAGAGGTCTGTTTTATTTACATTTTACACAGCTTTTTTGGAATTGAGGTTGTATTATTCATATATGTACTTGCTATGTAAAACCTGGCAGAAACTGGACTTTTGATGTTGAGAGTTTAAAAAATGTGACAAGAATATATTGACTGATATTTGTTTTTAACATCAGCACATTGATAAGGATCCTTTAAAATTATGACTTGTATGTAGTGAGGACATTTAACAGTGTACAAATTAACTTGTTGGTGTGGAGACACTGTTTCTAAATTACCTGGTACACATCTTTGACATATCTGTGCTGACATTTATCAGCTAACGCAATGGCAGTTGTAGCACATTTGGTGCCCTAAGTCCTTCAAACAGCTGCCAAAAGCTACATTTTACAAGATTACATTGAACACAAAGAAGGAGTGCTTCACAATGTAAATCAATGCAACCTCCGTGAGCTACCGTTTGTTTGTATTTGGTTTTTTTTTGGGAACCCCAAAAAAGGTGTCTCTATTATTTAGTATACTTTGCTATGTAGTTATGTTGTTGTGGCCTCATGTAATATTTCAAAATAATAGTAGTATTAGTATTAGTAAAAAATAGTAAAGATAAACATTTTTTCTTTCTTCCCCCATCTGTGGCGCCCTCCATGGTGGACAGCACCCTTAGCATTCACCTATACTGCCTACACCATGGGCCAGCAGTGAGCTGACGTATATGTAATGTGGTAAGCTTATATCAGCCAATATGTTGCTTTCTCTTACCCAGACTCATGGTAGTTGCCAGAGTGTTGAACAGCAGTGTATGTGGCTGCAGGAACATCTGTTGGAAAACACAACTTAAGAATACAGCACTACAAGAGTAATTCTAATCATCCAAAAATGCAACATAAAAATTAACATGTTACTTTATGAAATCAGATCAGAGGATGTTGGTAACTTTAATAAAATATAACTTTTTGTCATATTTGATGATCTGTCACTACATCCAGACAGTATTACATGAGACAGATAATCTACGAAAAATGGCTTCTAATGGCATTTGCAAGAATCCAACACATCTAAATAAAAACAACCAGTCAGAGCTGAGGAGTCTCTAATGCTGCTGTCAACCATGCCAATCACTGCATGTGAACTGCAGTTAAACTGTCAAACTAGGCAGCTCTGATCAAATATGAATCAAGATTACTGGATTGCCTATTTCTCACCTCAAATGTTTTCAGAAACAAACATACAGTTGATAAGTAGTCAAAAGTAATGCAGTTTAATCCAATAACCCTCCAATGCATCCTCCCATCATGAAGGTTATAATGATCATTTTTTGTTGAAATTGTTTTTGAAAAGGCATTAATCAAATGTCATAGCAATTTAGGAAACTGCAGTTTGTGCTGCTGTTAAACTGGACTGCATTATACTGCTTCAGGCTGTTCTCACAAAATTTTCGTGTCTTTTTCTATAAAAGGCAGAGCAACCAAATTTGTACATATATCATATTTTGAAAGGCTGCAATAATGTGACAAATGCACTGACAGGAGTAAACAAGGAAGCAGTTCTGAGCGCTTGTAAGGAGGCAGGTTGGGGCAGTGGATGGGTCACAAAAAACTGGACTTTCGCCTGGAGTCATGTGGTCAGATCCATGTGAACTTTCAGTGAATTTTGAGTAATTTTAAGGTACATCTTCACCATGTTTCTTTTCCTACATCTAACCTCCACAACCGTACGTTAGCTACGAGCATGTTAAGGACGTAATGTCTTTCATGGGGCACAAATTCGTAAGATACCATACAAACTGTTGTGCATGCATTTTTCATAGGATATCAAACAAACCGTTCTATAAGAATATGCTGACTGCTTCCATGGTACATAGCTTGTGTGTATGTGAGTGATGCCAGAGACAGGGTGCCGACCTGGGAAGTTGAAGCGGCTGTCTCGAGAGCCTGGCGGTGACGGGTTGGGTGGAGGGGTGGCACTGACACTTGGGGGGTTATTCTGTTGGAAATGTGCAGGAGAGGAAGGTGTGGAGGAGGTGGCTGATGATGGGTTACTGCTGGAGTCCAGCTGGCTTAAACTGGGAATAGGCTCCTGCTAACACACACACACACACACACACACACACACACACTCATAAATATATATATAATGGTAAGCACCTTCCAATGATACCATTTATTTCCCTGACACTCAGTTCTACCTATCTAATCTTTACCTACAGCATTACCTTGAGAATAAAATCAGTAACAGCAGTCTGGAACAAAATTCCAAACATATTATAATAGAAAAGAAGCATGTACTCACCCTTTTGGTTATTGCTTTTGGTAAAGTACCAAACTGCAGTGGGATCCCTGCTGTGTGATCAATCCGGTTATTGATATCAGATGGCACTGATTCTGCCCTCCGCATCCTTGGCACTACAAATCACAATAAAACATTAGCTAATTTTATAACACACTGAATATTTAATGATAAGATAGACATTTTCAAGTCTGTCTTAAAACAATATACAAGTGCCTGAAGGAAACCAGGGTTGGTTGGCAACAGCTATAATTGGTCCTTTGAAGGTCACAGAAATAAACTGTAACATCAACATATGTGCTTTCTTGAAGTGCACCTCATGTTAACATCTGAGATATTAGAAATGTGTTACTTCTAGATAATAGACAGGGTAATCAGCTACATTTTGAAATAAGATCTGAAAGTCTGTAATGAGTGATGGTGCCTGGCTTACATTATTTCATCACAAATTTGGGTCAAACATGAGCAAGTTGATTGGCACATGTCCAAAACAACAGTTTGTTTGTGATCACATGACTATTATGAGGTGCAAAAGTCAGATGGAGGACAGGAAGTAACAAATCCATACACTGTGTGAGCTGGATATAGAGGAAGGTGAAAACATTAAAGAGCTGGATGAACCTGCAGGCAGCCAGTATCATCAGAATATTGAAACTTTTGTTGGATGTGATCCATACAAAATGAAGAAAAGAGATTTTTTCAACAACTTGATCAACTTGCCTGGTCTAGACACTATCGTCGTACAAAAGGACTATCACGATTTTATGTGCATTTTGGTCCATGACTGAACAGACTTCTTGCTTGCTTTTGATCGGGTGAGTAAATGTGTTTGAGTATAATTTTCTGTTCATGGATGCACTGCTGTCTGGCTAACATTACTAGCTAACTTTAGCTACTATTTTGTACCCACTAGGTCAACCTTACCCAGAGGTCTGGTGAAACTCTGTTAAAAATCTATGTTGTGGCTAAAAACACAGAGAGGTTGTCACAGCACAGACACAGGCTTTAACGCTTTAATGTTACATTTGACAATAGTTGACTCTGCCCCTCCAGACTGAAGACAAGTTGTTTGGCTTTAAAAATGGAGAAATATTCTACTGAATGTTCATGTTTTCTGGTTCTTATTATAATTAACTGTTCAAATAGTTTCTATTGGTTACTTCATTTTGCAACTGTAACATTTTAACATCGTGCCAACCAACCCCCATGATGGGGTTGTTTGGCAAAAATGCACAACATGACTTTATTTACACTTAACAGTTGTGTTCAATCAAACATATTTATTCACAGCTGAGAACTTAACCTTTCATTTACTGCTGGTTAGAATATTCTTGTATACATTATGCCAAAGAAACAGCAGAGTGAAAAGAGTGCACCCTATGTACACTGAAACAAGTGTCACTTCCTGTAATCATGCTGGAAGCGACTGGTCACTGCAAGATCCCTTCTTAATGCACTTCCACTCTTAGTGACAAGTTTGTGCAAAAAACACAAAGTGTATATGAAGTTGTATGAGGCTTCAGCAGTCTGACTTAGACCAAAAAACACACACACAAAACCAAAGTTACTATCATTTCAGTACATTTCCTTTTTGTGTGTGTTACTACCACAGCTAAGCACACAAACACTGTGGAAAAACACAAAGAGGGAATGGAGTGGAAATGCCCCCTTTATTTCTGTTTAAGCTGCTACATGTGTCTCCATCAGGGTCAGACAAGGCAACTGGTGACAAATCAGTTTTTATACATTTCCAAACATGTCAAAATTTAACAAGGCATCCTATATGATAATTACATCCTTGGTGTATTACCTGTGCTGTCACGCATGCCTGATTCTCATTTTAGGGCACCATCTTGTGGTTACATTTAAACACATTAATCCAAAAAAAAATCTAATTCTAAAATAATTTCAAACACATTGTGTCAAAACTAAATAATAGCACAATATGTTTGAAATCATTTTATAATTAGATTTTTTTTCTGGATTAATGTGTTTAAATGTAAAACTAAATAATAACAGGCACTGTCGCCTCACAGCAAGAGGGTTCCTGGTTTGATCCCAGGAGGGAGCCCTTCTGTGCAGAGTTTGCATGTTCTCCCCGTGTCAGTGTGGGTTTTCTCTGGGTACTCTGGCTTCCTCCCACAGTCCAAAGACATGCAGATTGGGGGTAGGTTAATAGGTGACTCTAAATTGTCTGTAGGTGTGAACTTGAGTGTGAATGGTTGTCTGTCTCTATGTGTCAGAAAAAGGTAATTATCTAAAAATCATGAGGTTTTATAGACAACCAGATGTCTTTACACTGCAAGTCACCAGGAGTGCACTTTGGGCTCTTATCTTTAAGGTGCGCACAACACAGGGCAACATCCTGGCAATTCAATTTAAAAAAAAAGGATGAGTGAAAGAAAAGAAATGATGTTGAGCGTTGCTTACATGTGAGAAATGATATCCTACATGAGGGAGCATCTTTGGTACATTTGTTGTGGCACTTTAACCTGTGAACAGATAGATATGACATACCCTAATGAGACCACAACAAGTAGTGCTATATTCAAATACAGTGGGGAGGTTATATTTACAGTCTCTTACTTGCAGTGTTTGCACTTGACACCAAACATCATGCTCTTGTGACACACTTGGCACGTCTGGGAGAGCCAGGACTTGGTTGAGAACCTAAAAAGAAAGAAAAAAAACAAACATTTCTTTATCATAATGACACTATCTTCTAACATTTCATTTGGATCAATTCATCTAATGCCCTGAAATTCAGTAACTGTAGAACTGAATTTAGTATCTAAGTACTTTACATGACGAGACTGAAAATCTTTGGGGCAGCAGTAGCTCAGTCTGTTGGGACTTGGCTTCCATCTTCCCCATGACAGCACAGAAAATCTATAAAATCAGTACAGTTTCAAGGTGGACACCCAAGATTAGAGTCACCAACTTTTTGCCAAAATATTTTCCCTTCTGTTCCTGAGATATGACATTGAATAATGGCCAGAAAGGTGTTTAATCCAGAACATTATGATGTCACAGTGAAGTTGACCTTTGGCCTTTTGGATATAAAATGTGTTAGATTTTGTCATAATTGTCATAATACAACATATTTTGTGAGGTCCTGACCACTGACCTCTGAGGCAATTGGGGGATGAGGAATGGGTTGCCTATCTCTTCTACCCATGCTCAACGCCATTTATTTTTGAGTCCTTTATCGCCTATCTGGACGTTTTTCCCGGGTTTCATTAACTTACTTTCCATCATGATGAGAGTGTCTATGGCATGAGCTCCACTAGAATCTGAAGTTGGCTCTGACCCAAGTTTGCCCCCCCCATCTATCCATCCATCCATTTTCAACTGTTTATCCGAGGCCAGGTCGTGGGGGCAACAAGCTGAGTGAAGTACTCCAGATGCTGCTCTCCCTCGCAATAATTTCAAGTTCCTGCTGGGGGATCTCTGGGTGTTCCCAGGCCAGACAAAATATCATTCATTATCACTCCAGCATGCTCTGGGTCTGCCCTGGGGCCTCCCACCAGTTTGACATGCCTGGAACATCTCTAACGGGAGGCGCCCAGGATCCTGATCAGATGCCCAAACCATCTCAACTGGCCCTGTTTGACGCAAAGGAGCAACAGCTCTACTCCGAGCACCTTACCCTATCTCTAAGGCTGAGCCCAGCCACCCTTTGCAGGAAACTCATTCTGGCCGATTGTATCCACAACCTCATTCTTACGATCATTACCCATAGCTCATGACCACAGGCTAGGGTTGGGACATAGATGGACCTGTAAATCGAAAGCTTTGCCCTCTGGTTCATCTCTCTTCACTATGACAGTCCAGCGCAGCACCTACATCACAGTAGACGCCTTGCCAAACCGCTGATACATCTCACAATCCATTCTACCCTCACTCGTTAACAAGACCACAAGACAGTTGAACTCCTGCTGGGGGCAGTAACTCACTCCCAACCCGATGTGTCCAGTAGAGCTGAAACAAGTGGATTCATTGCTTAGTCAACAGACAGCACCCTGAAACAGACAGACACAGATAGAGACTGCTCCACCATGTTGACCTGCAGTTGAGCAGCTAAGAGCCAGATGTTTCTCTCAGGAGCTGATGAAGACTAAAAGGAGAGATAATGATAATGTTGTGGGATGTGTTAATAAGCAGCTGTCTGCTGTCACATCTATTTAAATGGTGAAAATAATACTAGTGTTGTCTTTAAACCTTGTTTCCACAACCTCCAGTGGATAACACTCAAAGAATGTAGGTTTAACTAATCATACTAAATCTAATGTCAACCTGCCCGACAGCAGCTGTTGGCACAGACAGGCTGACGGACATCAGCTTTATGTAGCTTTGCTAGTTGTTGTCTTTTACTGTGTGAAGGTCACAAAACACAACACTGTCATTCTGCTTAACTTAAGCTGGGTCACATTTAGGATAAGGGAAATATAACCAGGAAATTTACAGTGGGTTTCTGGAAAAAAAAGGCCACAATATGCAATTCAAATCCCCTACATAATGCAGGCAGCTGCTGAGGACAGATTCATAGTAAATCACTCGCTGTCAGTAAGATAAACAGACTGAATGCTTCACATTGTTCAAATTCCTTCTCCTCACAGATGCACTGGTTCCACAGTGGTTTACATCAGAGGGCTCAGTGTGAATTTGGATTGACTCCTCTCAGAGTCACACTGTCTATTCCAGTCACACTCGCACAGGGAATTCACAGGAAACCACAGTGATGACACTGGAATGTCAGTCAGCTGGAAAAATTCCACAACAGTATGTGAACGTGTTTGTTTGTAGAAGCATGCAAAAAACTGGTCTTTTCTTTCATCTCAAACACTGACCTAAACTATTAAAAAAGTATTAAATCTTTGAAAAACCATTAAAGAACCATTAAAGGGGAACTCCCCAGTTTTAAAACAAAACCTACACCCTTGCCTCTGCCCAACAATTCAGAATTACCACTACATCAATTTAAGTATAACGTTTCTCTCACAGGCCACACTCAATAAAAATGTTGTGACACAATAACCACAGTGTCCACAGCAGTGTGTGCATGGACTTTAATATTTTCCTGTGAAGTCTTTTATTCTAAACTAGACAGGAGGGGTATAGGGGTGACAGTAACTGACCTGTGTGTTACAGCCAGGCCAATGTCTCTCCTTATTGTCTGAGGGGAACTCCTGTGCATGGTCACACCTGTGAAGAACATTAGAACATAGTATGTCAAAAACACAATAAGAGAAAATGGGAAAATGAAAGAGAATCACAGAGGCACCAAAGGACAATGGGCCTCATTCACAAACTGTGTGTATGCACAAATCTGTGCTTAAACTGTGCGTACGATCGTTTGACGCACAAATCCAGGATTCATCAATATTTTCTTACCAGAATTTGTTCTTACTCTGCGAACAAATTTAGAACTGCCTCAGACCACCATAATGATCACCCACTCCCAACAGTTTCTTGTGCCATGAAATTACGCATCTGTGGCCAAAGGCAACTGGTTAATTGGTAGCATGTTAAAGGGCATGCAGGGTATATAAACGATTCTGATTCACCTGAGCAAGTGTTAAGATGGCATATCTAGCCTTGCTAGAGGACATTGCAGCCCGTGCCCTGAGGAGAGAGCGCGTATTCAGGGACCGACACAACATGTTCGAGGAAAATGATGAATGGCTTATCAGGCGTTTCCGATTGCCAAGGCATGTGCTACTGCAACTATGCGAGTCTAAGGCTATTACCTGGATATATCAAATTCCCATATGATGAACATATATCAGACCGATGTGAAGATGGGGTTCCATGGCATAGCTGGAATGCCAAATTGGCGCAATGGACTGTACCCACGTGCGCATCAAAGCTCCATCGATTGACTCAATGCAATACATGAACAGAAAAAACTATCACTCCATCAACGTGCAGATGATCTGTAATGCCGACTGCCATATCCTTAAGGCTGTGGCCCGCTGGCCAGGAGGCACCCACAACTCATTTATTTTGCAAAACAGTACAGTGGGAATGCGTTTGGAGGCAGGGGCTGTGAGAAGTGGATGGCTTGTTGGTGAGCATCTTTTGTTCTAGTCTTTTATTTCAATTGTTTTTAGTTAGTATTTTTAGTAAGTCTCTATTCTGTTAATGTTAAAATGTTATATTGGTTAGGTGACTGGGGACATTGCTGATGACACCATACGCAAACCCTGAAACCCCTCAAGAGGTGCGCTATAATAACATACATGCCCACACACGCGAGTTTACTACTTCTCTCCTCGCGTAACCACTTCCTTCATTCATGAATCAACTCTAGGCAAGCAGTTTCCTTATATGGAGAAATGGGGGCGTGGCAGTGCGCAGGTGTCATGAATTCCACGGTGATTTTGCGTACGCACTTATTTTGTGCGCGAATTAAGAACATTTCCACGCACATATTAGTGAATGAGGCCCAATGAGAGCAGGAATCCAGGCAGGTATCTGTTATGGGCACTTACCCTCCAGAAGGTTGGGTGTGGCAGGCATCATGTATGGGGCTGAGGCTGGGACAGGGCCAGGTGTTCGGGCGGACAGCAGGGGAGAGCGCAGCGCTGAGTCCTCAGGACTGAACCCATAGCCATTGATATGAATTGCTCCCAGCACTTTGTTCTTCTTACAGGTTCTGCAAGGAGAGAGAGCAGCTTACAGCTACTGTATACAGCAGTTCACTTCAACCTGTCATGCGGTGACAGCTCAGCTGCACAGTGCAAAGTGCTGAAAAAAAGAACTGTTATGTCATTGGTAGCCGGTAAACCATAGTGTAACAGTCAGGAATAGATATGGTTTTGATTTGTCTTCTTTCATTTGTATATGTGAAAGTGCCAAACTACATTAATTCAGAGCCCTGACCTTGGAAACTGTGTTGGACAGCACCCACAACTTAATGACAATTTTGTTATTTGCAGTTTTACCAGTTGTGGAGCTAGAATGTAAAGTTTTTCCTGAAGGAAAATGGAAGGCCATGAACTCAATTAAAATCAAAAGTTTTAATCCACCAGGGAGCATGACTGCCACTTTGTAAATTAATTGGGAATTTGCCTGTTATATCATAAAATAGCTTATGTGCAAAGCTGACATTTTAGGCTGATGATGACACTGTAAGACACTGTGGGCCCCTGTGTTAATTCCAACACAAAGCATTACTGCTAGTTTCACACTATCACAGTTGTCATTTTCACAGCCCATGTTTTGTCAGTAGCAAAGGTTTCTGCGGCCATCTGTGGGCCCATGGGTTTGTAGGTCTTAAAATGTGGTGTGGTTGGGTGCATTGTTGGCATATTGCTATTTCGAGGCAGCCGAATGTGATTGTGCCATTGACCAACAAAAACCTGTTCTGAAGTCAGAGAGGTGCCTACATAGGAGGGTGCATACACAAACTTGTTGCACACACAGGTATGTATAAGTAGCAGAGATCAGAGCAGAGCTGCAGAGCTGCTGTCCAACTATCTGTGTGCATTTACACGAGGAGCAGCATAACTTCATTGATTATTTCAGAAGCTAAAAGTTTAGTTCCATTTTCTCTGTCAAGTTTATAACTACAGTTTTTAGTTTTGTTGCTCAAATATCCCACAGTTTTTGCTGCAGTGACATCACTGCTATTACTACATTACTCTCAGCAGAAAACTGCTTGCTTCTTCAATTTGGCAAATCCACCATATAAATAGCAGTACAGGCATACCTGGCTTTTAAAGGTAATGAGATGACACTCTGCTGTTACACCCAAAACACGCCTATGATTAATTAAGGGCCTAAATACAACCTCTTTGCACCCTGTGACTTACTTTGCACCCAGATTATGATTATTTTAACTAGCAAAATGGAGTTGGACATGTTCTAAATGCACCTGCACCATGCACTTTAAACCATGTTCTATACATTATTTAAAATAGGGCCCTGTGTCTCTGTGTTAATTCTTAAGTTATCTTTTTGATATGCCACAAATATGTCTAAAAATGAATGACTTTTGAGTAACTTCATATAAAAATCCCTCTCTGTTCTCTCATCTTGAACTCGGGGTTTACACACAGATATATCCAGCCCAGTGTGATTTTGGGAACCAAGCTAAAGTTCATTCAGAAAAACAATGTCACACTTGGCATCAGCTGCAAGAAAAAGACAATGAGGATATTAACTCATCTCATTCTGCTCATAGGCCCCTGAATTGAACTGAACTGAAATAATGCTGTGGCAGACTTTGTGATATCAGGAAATACCATATTGTTGTCCAAAAACTTGATGTGACATTGTATTGTGATGAAACTTGTGATTTACACCCCCACTCTGTACAGTGACTTATGTTATTTCAGTTTGATGTTTAGCAGTTGAAAGATAAGGCAAATATTCCAACAGCACACTCGGATTCACCATCTTTACCATAAAAACACAGTTGCAGTATCAGTTCTAAAACCCACTTGTGTGTAGCAGGCTCCTCAATGCGGTTGGCCAGCTGTGACTCATGACTCTTGCTTCTTGTCAGTGCGATGTTGGGGAGGAGCTGCAGCAGTTTGCGGGAAGATGCCGGTGGTGTGTTGCAGGGCTTGGCAGTGCGCGTCTTTGAGGCTCGAGTGGCTGGAGGAGTGCTTGGCTCTGGGGCGAAGGCATCCTCAGTTAATATACAAGGTCTCTGTTCTTCTGAAAAAGGTACAGCTGATATGGAGATGGAGCGGCCATGGGTGCTGGTGGGCTGCACAGGTTTGGGGGAACTATTAGAGCTGGAGGGTGGGCGAATGGGAGAGAATGCATCACTGTCCTGTTGGGGCTCAGAGCTGCAGGAGCCTGAGTTGGGCCTCGGGTCACCTCCTTAGCAAAAGGATAAAAAGCAAAGATGATAAATGAAAGAGTAGTACACAAATGGAGTACACACTGTCACACATTACAAGAAGATGATTGGGATGGTTTAAATATAAATTTCATCAAATTAGCACATCAATTCAAATCTAATGTAGTCCCATCTGAAAATGAATTAAGTTTACTTTTACTACAACAGTTTAGAACCTCCTTCACATAGTCAAGTGTAATACACACTTTAATGTGCATAGAAACTAAAGAGTCAGTGTACCATTACAGCATAAAATTATTTTTATTATAGCTTTAGTTATAGAACTTTTTAAAAAGAAATTACAAAGAGCTTGATAGTAAAACAAACAGAGTGAACTGCAAAAATGCTAAAATACCTAGCAAGAATTTGAAAGTAGAACACAGAACAAAACAGTAAAAACAAGCATACAAGTATGAAACCAAAACGGAACAAAAACACTGTAAGCATTTTTCAAAGTAACAAACAGGACACGAAATGCAAGTTTTTTCAAATAACAAAAAATGGCAAGATACACATAGTGATGTTTTATTAACTACTGCTGGGTGATTAAGCAAGACTCCAGTTGTGGCTGATTGGTCTGCATGTTGACCTGCACTACTTTGAGACACCGGTCTTTTTAATTTTATATATAGTAGTTTAGTAGTTTTATATATAGAAGTGGTTATTGCTGGTGCATCACACATTGTAATGCATCACATAACATTTCATGTATTGTACTAGCTTTTTCTTACTGTGGGGAAAGCTGAGAGCTAAAACTCAAATGGGGCTAGTGCAAAGATGCAAGAATTTAAGTGATGTGATCTGATTTCCCAGAGTTTGTTAAAAGCCTAGCAACAGTGTTTTGAATCAGCTGGAGGCGAGCAGCTGACTGATGGCTTAGGTTGGAGTATGCTGTAAAGCCCTCTGAGGCAAATTGTTATTTGTGATATTGGGCTTTATAAATAAAATTGATTGATTGATTGATTGATTGATTGATTGATTGATAAAGAGAATCACAGCAATCCCAGTGAGAGAAAAAAAGACACTGTCTTTTCTCAAGCACTGCAACTGTTAAAAATTATGTTAGTTATTGCCCTTAGCTGAAGGAGACAGGACTGTACCACTCTGAATAATCGATTGTCAAATGGTAGGTCAAATATAGCCCCTTGACTGCAAGTAGACTCTTTTACATAAGATAAGAAAAATCCCAGTATATATGATAGAGAAGCTGTCAAGGAGGTTAGCCCAATAAAATAACTTTAGATCTGGACTCATCTAGTTGCAAAATATTCTGTTTCATCCAGCTCTTGAAGTTGTAAGAGTTGTAACAGTTGAGGAGCTGTACTACATTTATAGTGTCACAAGATTTAAGGGGTACATACAGTGGTGTGTCATAGCATACATGTGAAAATCTATACAGTGCAATATGTGGCCTGGCCCAGTGGCAACAGGTTATAGGTGTACTCACAACTCTTAAGAAAGCTTTAGTAAACATTTGTAATTGGCGATTTCATGGCCAAACCTGCTGAGAGGTTATTGTTTTTTCATTTGTTTGGTTGTTTGTTTTGACATTCTGAGTGCATAATTCAGATATTTTTGCAGATATCTGTTAACCTAGTTAGACTTTTGCTGATTACCAATTCAAAAAATTATACTTACTATCTGAATCATGTAATAAGAATGTTTAAACAATGATAACAATAATAATAATAACAATAATAATAATAATAATAATAATAATAATAACATGTTAACCGAATAAGTGAATTAAATTGTTTTGTAATTGTAACTGTAACTGTTTTGTAATTAAAAAATGATTGTGCCTGTTCTATATTTGGTTGTGTTTTCTGTATTTGCAGTGTGTTTCTGTATTTTGTTGTAACTTTGATCATGTTTTCTTAACTTGCTTTGTTTTTTTCTCATGTGCTGAACAAAAAATACCAATGAGGGAATTTTGAAGTAAAAGACTGTAGCATTGGGGGAACAAAATTCAGATATTTTAAAAGTGCTATGGAAGTGGTGCAAATTTCTTAAATCATTTTCACTTACTCAGATGACTAAAAACCTATTATAAATGACACACAGTGACTGTGGGGCTCTGAGAGTCTGGTAGCTGCTATACTGGGTTGGTAACCCTGTACTGATTTAAAATATAATATCAAAAGGTGTTATATTTAACATATTTGAAAATTCCCATTTGAAACCCTGTGTAAAACATAAACCAAGATGGCTGTTAAATACATCACATAATCATTTATCATGGTAAAGATTAAACTGAATAAATGAATTACTAATTACTTATAAATACTATTTAATGCATTTCTGTTTTTGTTTTTTGCTATGCCTGTGAATGACCCCTTCACAGAATGCAGGGCAGCCAATTTCCTGGTTCACCTGTTTCATTAGCACTCTTCAGACAGGAGAGGGCGGCAGTGAGGCGAGAACGATCTTCTGAGTTGGAGCCCAGGCGTCGCATCGTGTCCTGCAACTCAGAGCTGGACATCTGCAGCAACCCGTCAACTGAGATCTTTCCTGCTGCAGCCTGCGGGAGACAAGGAGGACGTCTCAGAACCTGACAGAAAATTTCTCAGAATAATCAGCAGGATATACAGAATATTACTATGAGGGGATTTGTCTGGGATCCTCCATCTTTTTGTACTTCTCCTGATAAATGTCTTAAACACAGTAGTCTCGGCTTACTAAATCTTTGCTGATCTGCTGATGCATCAGTCACAAAATGAAAACTTAGAAGATGTGTCAGAGTCTTAATTATGAGGACATATTCCACTCAGAAGAAAATAGCATTAACAAAAATAAGCACAGGGAGACTTTCACCAAGTCTGCAAAGACATTTACAACTGAGGCCTCAACAATCAGCATTTGAATTACACCAGGACCTCTGACAGTCTTAACATAGACAAAGCAACTTCTCACTGCTTTGTTGCATCTTCCATACATCTAATACCAACTTTTTTCTCTCTTTCACACATACAAATTTGACTTTGACATTGTTTATTGCATTGGCCTACAATGTTTTGTTTTTAAACAATGAATGCATGATGCCTGGATCTACAACAAAAGTATGGTAAAACTATTCTTCTGTTGCTGGGGTGGTGGCTATAATTTTGAAGCACAATAGCCTCTACACAGTGTGTTCAACACGACAGATGAATGTTCAGTCAGTACACATTTACATACAAGGCCACACACACACACACGCACACAAACACACGCAACAGTTATTCTTTACAATTCTTCAATTGAGCTTACTTTGGTTGTTGTAAGTAAAAGACTGTGTGGTACCAGAGTAACAGTGACATCATTATAACAGCATAAGAATGGAGAAGTTCAGGCCAATACTTCATTCTTGAAAAGAAAACAAGAAAAGGATTGACAAGGATATATTTAGCAGTATAAAGAGTCTTGTTTCTCTACTGTATGACATTCTCTTCAGAGGTTTGCTCATGTCATATGTAAGCCCTGTTCCAGTGCACTGTGGGCCACATTATGCAGCAGTTAGAATAACATATCCTGACTTTTGCTTATTTAAACTTCATTTTGTCTGGTTCATAAAAGTTAAGTAATCTTAATTCTACAGAATGCCAAGTTTCCATCTATGTTCCAATTAAATGCCATAGAACAGTGTGTATATCTGAAACAAGATCCACTGCGTCTGCAGAAGCACTTATGAAGATTTAAATTTACTGTGTAGACAGTAAGACAGGCTTCAACAGACTTTATGCAAATGTAGAATGGAAGGTATTCTTCGAAAAGTCATCTGACAGCTGGATCTCTAGAACATGGACCTTTCAATGGGCTGATTTACTTGTTTATTCAGTGTGATTAAAGGAAAAGGCAGGCTGTCATAGAAGAACAATTGGCCCATTTGCAGACAAAATTAGACAAAAGCAAGAACAAGCCAGTATCTGAAATAGCCAGAAATATGGGTCAAGGGATTGTCCATAAAGAGCTTTTGGGAGGGGAAAAATACCCATAGGTCTAAACTGTCAAATTAGAAACCAGTGTATTGTCAGTTTGTCAAGCTTTAAAATGGCAGACCTGATGCAAGACTAATTCCTGGAATCTGCTGGCAAACTGTGAAAACAAGGTTTATTCTACACTGCTTTTATTTTACTGGTATGTGTTTTTTCAGGCCTTGATGTGAGTGTGTGTGTGTGTGTGTGTGTGTGTGTGCGTGTGTGATTTTACAATCAAATGCACAGTATTAATGGAATAATGCTTAAAACACAAACTTGTATGCCTCCACCCACCAGTCAACTTTTTATACACGTTTACATACATGTCTGTGAAAACATGGATGCTTCACGCACATCTTCCCCCTGACAGCACAGAAGACCTATAAAATCAGTACAGTTTCAAGGTGGACACCCAAGATTAGAGTCACCAACTTTTCAACAAAATATTTCCCCTTCTGTTCCTGAAATATGACATTGAATAATGGCCAGGTGTTTTATCAAGAACATTATGATGTCACAGTGAAGTTGACCTTTGGTGCGTGTGTGAGTGTGAGTCTGTGTCTGTGTTCTATGAGGATTGGCTTAATCTCCTGGCAACTTGCTGTTTCCTACATACTGTCCATGGTAAGTGAAATGGACAGGCTAGGGTAACAAAAGGCTCAGTATTTGTATGGGATGTATCAGAAAGACAATGTTGAGACTGAATTTGAGGCTTTCCCCTACTAACTTCTGTGTTTTGTGGAAAAATGCAATCTTTAAATTAATCTTAAACTAATCTAAGGCGTCAGCGGTCTGAGTTAAAGAAATAAAGTGGGCATCTTTTAATGTTACAGTCTTTTTAGTCTAAAATTCCCCATGTCATGTTTTGACAGAGAGTGTGTCCTGGTACAGTATGTCCTGGCAGTTGCACGGAGGTTTGTTGCCTGGACAACACAACTGCCAGTATGATGACTGCAAGATTTGATTTGACTAACTCAAACCAGGACTGTGGCTACCACTGAGGACCCCAAAGTTGTGCCTTCAGTAATTGTTCTGACTGTTGTCCTATTTTGTTGCAAAAGTCTCTTTCCATCAGTGTGAGAGTGTGCATGATGTGTTTAAGGTGTAAGTATGTAGGCAGTTGGCTTTTCTTTTGATGATCGTTGACTAAATAAGGATCCAAGATGGTGTCGGCTCTGTGCAGAGGCAGTGCTCATCTCTCTCATCTCCCAAGTGGCTACACAATTACGTGTAGCCTTTGCCATCAGTATGGCAAAGGCTACTTATGCAAACACTTAAACACTTATGCGCCGTCAATAGAAAAATGATACCCCGAACGAGTTTTGTGGATTAAAAAAATACACTGGACTTTTTGACGGCATGAGGGTCAGTAAGTACTGTCTGTATTTTCATTCTAAAGTGGCCATTTCCTAACACTGAGGACGGCTATGAGCTGAAACGCATCTGTTTGACTGCTGCTGTGCAATCCACTATATTAAAAAGTATTATACTTATTAGTGAGTGCTGTCGGGTTTTTCTGCTTTGCTGTATTTTTTTGGACTAGCACCCAATTACACTTTGAGACTTTTGAGTGAGCACGCCAAGTTTGCTGAAGACTTATCTCCACACACAACAGTACTAGCCAGCCGGCCATGACCTCCCCAAGATGGCGGCGACGTTGACGCATTGCTGAAACGGGCTGAAGCCGTCAACGAGGTATCTACTGTATATGATATCTATGACGCAAACAGCTAACAATGTCAGGTTTGGTTGCGCCATCCTCGTGTGTGAACACAGGTCCACTTATAAGCTGCAACTTTGGGCTTGTTTTTTTGTAAAGTCGCTTACAAATATTGGTAGTTGGGGGTTGAGGTTTTTGGGCTTGTTTCTAAAGTGGAGTTGCTTATTAGGGCTTGCTCTCTAAACGTCACCTTCTCTGTATATATCCGTCTAATAAGTTATTTAAATGCATGACAGTATGTCAGACTGCTGAATTTTTCCACAGCTCCGCTAACTCCGCCCCTCTCCTTCTCCGCATATACACAGGTGATGGTCAGTCAGTGAGACTTTTCACATTTTAATTGTGCAATTAATGGAGTTCTTTAACTATTTCGCTAACAAGTGGGCAAAATATGGAAATAATACAATAAAGATTTGTAGAAAGAGAGAGCATTAAAAGATTTGACTCCGAGAGGGGGACGATTCAAAGGCAGTGTGCAGATTCAGATTCTGTGTGGAATATGCACTCATCATTCAGATCTTGTTCAGCATACCAGCACTGTCACAGTGAAAGTAAAATGGCTCGTTATATGCGACTTCTTTACTTGCATTTTCATTCATTCATTTATTCTTTCCACGTTTTTGGTCAGTTAGTTGGTTTGGTAGAGTTCACGGGCAGTAAATATAATGTATTTGTAAAGTAATTTTGTTTGCTGGTCCTGGTTGCTTGTTTCTCTCCGAAGATCTGGCAACACTGAACACAACACAGTGTGGAGTGAGTAGCAAGAATGAGTGCGGATAGCGAGGAAATAGTCGAGTAGTAGTTTTTATACCATCTTGTGTATGTTCATTTATTTGAGTGTTTTCTAATGGTTGGGTTGACATTACATTTTCTTCCATGTGCCTTGACTGATGACTGTGATTGCAATCAGAAAAAAAGCTATTGAGTTTAAAATAAATTTGTTAAAATGTATTTATTTTCTCCTGGTCCTTATAAAAAAAATTATCGATAATTATCGTTATCGATCAATATGAACCAGCTATATATACACTTTTCAGCCATATCGCCCACCCCTAATTCAACCACTGGATGATCAGAGATGTGATCAAAGTTTCCAAATGTACAATCTAATACATCTCACTCTCTCAGACACAGTCAGATACATGATTATATGTACAGTACAGGCCAAAAGTTTGGACACACCTTCTCATTCAATGCGTTTTCTTTATTTTCATGACTATTTACATTGTAGATTCTCACTGAAGGCATCAAAACTATGAATGAACACATGTGGAGTTATGTACTTAACAAAAGAAGGTGAAATAACTGAAAACATGTTTTATATTCTAGTTTCTTCAAAATAGCCACCCTTTGCTCTGATTACTGCTTTGCACACTCTTGGCATTCTCTCCATGAGCTTCAAGAGGTAGTCACCTGAAATGGTTTTCCAACAGTCTTGAAGGAGTTCCCAGAGGTGTTTAGCACTTGTTGGCCCCTTTGCCTTCACTCTGCAGTCCAGCTCACCCCAAACCATCTCGATTGGGTTCAGGTCCGGTGACTGTGGAGGCCAGGTCATCTGCCGCAGCACTCCATCACTCTCCTTCTTGGTCAAATAGCCCTTACACAGCCCGGAGGTGTGTTTGGGGTCATTGTCCTGTTGAAAAATAAATGATCGTCCAACTAAACGCAAACCGGATGGGATGGCATGTCGCTGCAGGATGCTGTGGTAGCCATGCTGGTTCAGTGTGCCTTCAATTTTGAATAAATCCCCAACAGTGTCACCAGCAAAACACCCCCACACCATCACACCTCCTCCTCCATGCTTCACAGTGGGAACCAGGCATGTGGAATCCATCCGTTCACCTT